AACTGAGTTCAAAACCCCAGTACATATTGGATGGCAGTGAATCCCAGCACTCAGAAGCAGAGGCAGGAAGATCTCTGAGGTCATGGCCTGCCTGGTCTACAGAGCAAGTTCCAGGATAGCCTGGGCTACACAGAGAAACCCTGTCTTGAAAAACAAAAACAAAAAAGCAGAACCCATGTGAAAAGCAAGGTCACTACCAATGCCTGTGACCCCATCAGTAGGAACAGAGACAGAAAATTCCAGAAGTTCACCAGCCTGGTTAAAATGTTGAACTTCAGGTTCAGTGGGGAACTTTATCCAAAGAAGTAAGGTGGAGAGAGATAGAACACACACACACACACACACACACACACACACACACACACACACACAACAATGAAGCTGCTGGACACATGGCTCACCATCTGAGCTCTTACCTGGGTTAGATCCCCAGGCCCGGGTTCATCCAGCAGCCCCAGAAAAACAAAAACGATTTTTATTTTCATTTTACTCCTCCTCTAATTTTTCTGAAATAAATTATTTTAATCCCCCCCAAAAAACATATTTTTAGAACTTAATGATTTTTTTTTCAATTTTCATTAACAACTTAGGTACCCTGAGTCACCAGGCAACTGGCCTCACCTCTGACCCGGCACACAGTCAGAAAGACTGAAAGTTCTAGGCCAGCCTTGACTACCTAGCAAGATCCTGCTTGATCAAACCACCGGTCAACCAACAAATCCTTTGATCTCTTTTTTAAATTAAAAATGTAAAACTATGGTATCTTTACAGTTGGTACCCAGACAGTTTAAAGTTTGTGAGGGTCTCAAAAGAGATATTTTACAACAGTCAACAAGGAAAGCAGCAAATTAATCCCAAGAGGGTATAAAATAAGCTTAGCCTACAGCAAAGGGCTCCTTGCAAGGACCAGGGGGACTGGGCGTTGCTTTGTTCTGCTCTGACTATGGGTGTGTAGTATCTGTTTTTACTACACACTAGATTATTCTGTTTAGAGAATCTGCTAAAAGATCTCAGCCAGCTTTCCCCTTGAGACAGTCGGGCAGGCTGTCACAGAAAAATACAAGCAGGAAGTGGAGGAAACCTAAGATATCCATGCAGACCATATGGAAAGGGAAGGTACTGAGCAATAACCTGGCAGGTCGCTCCTGATGTCACCTGAGGAGACCCTTTGGGTTATCCATTCTTCTATACACCTACTTTACTTTTAAATAAATGACATCCCAGATCTGAGCTATCTCTAAGGCTAAATGGTTAAAGAACAACACATCATTCCATTGTTCTGCCTCTTCTTTCCTCAGGTTTCTGGCTCTGGTGACCATTCCTTTTTTTCCTTTAAATACTATTTCACTGACAGGAACACCATGCTCAGGAGATGGACGATGGCTGTCACCCTATTACAGCGCTCAGTCTCTTACTGACATAAGGGAGTCCTTGCATATAAATATTTATTCAGTCCCGTAAAGGAGACAGGAGGGCTTTGTTGTCACACAGGCATGCTCCAGTAAGCAAGTAGCACAGAGGTACAGTGAAGGAAACACCATCCACGTTAACTTTCCTGCCCAGCTAACGCCTGAGCATGCTTGGAAAGCAGTATGCAGAGAAAGTATTTTTGAGATCCCTTGCAATAGAAAGAAAGCATGGTACCCAACGTCTAAACAAAAAGTAGAAAAATAACATGGGCTTATACTACAAAGTATCAAAGAACATGACGGAAATTTGTTTATTTTAAGCTATTATAAGTCTGTCAAGGAGATCAGTAGCAGCGGGACGGTGGTGGCACAGTCCTTTAATTCCAGCACCTGGGCAGCAGAGGCAGGTGGATCTCTTTCAGTTCGAGGCCAGCCTGGTCTACAAGAGCTAGTTCCAGGACAGGCCCCAAAGCTACAGAGAAACCCTATCTTGAAAAAAACAAAACAAAACAACAACAACAAAAGATCAGTAGCAAAATATAGGGTACCAACATCATACAAGGAAATTTAAGGCCTTTTCAAGAGAATTCATGTAAGACAAGAAGGGGACATTTAGCTTAAGTCCTTTAGTTTCAGCACTCAGGAGGCAAAGGCAGGTGGATCTCTATGAGTTCAAGGCCAGCCTGGTCTACAAAGCAAGTTCCAGGACAGTCAGGGCTACACAGAGAAACTCTGTCTCAAACAAAACAAAACAAAAAAAGGAAGGAAAGTTTTAGGAATATTTTATAACTGTAAGCTCTCTGCTGAAACAAAATAATCACAATCAAGCCAAGTCAGACCAGATTAAAAGATGTTCGGATTTAGACACCTGCATTCCCGGGAGGCCCCGAGGGGAACGAGAAGTCGCCAATGCAACCACCAGAGAGAAAAAGGGAAAACCACGCGTTTATTTTCTGGCGAGCAGTTTAAATAACCCTAACCCGTGGGAGTGGTCTTGACCTTTCCTGGGGAGGGGATCAAGGTTTGAGGGGCACAGGGGAGGGGCCTCCAAAGATGGAGGCCGGAGGCTGGGATTTACAGAAAAAAGGAAGGAAGGGGAAAAAGAGAAAAAGTAAGTCCAAAGAGCTTACGATTTAGATTGAAATATTTTGGGGACAAAAAATAATGACCTTACAATTAAATAAGGACACAATCACAGTTTGCTACACTCCATCCCAGCCAACACTGGGATGCTGGTGCGCACCAGATTTAAAACCACACATCACACCGCCAGCCCTTCGCAAAAAGCCAGGCAGGTGTTGCACAGCACACTCCTTCAAGGTAGACCCACCTGCACTACCACTTCAAAGGCCCTTACAGGTAAAGTTATCTGGCCTGCTCAACACAGCCTTATCACAGAGAAAAGGAAGTAGGGAAGGGAAAAAAAAAGGAGCAGGAAACAACAAAGAGACTGAAAAGGGAACTAGGGAGACAGGGTAGCAGCTGGAAGCGGCCACACTGGCACTCTCTGTCCTAAGCATCAACAAGCCTTGCTGAGTACCTACATTCCCTGGGATCCGCCCTACAGGCGGCCTGTCACAAAGGCTTAGGGAAATTCCTAGCAAGAATAAGGCAGCTGGCCTTCCCCTCCACACTCTCCAAGGGGACAGGGTGCCCAGCTGAAAACTATGACAGAAAGACAAGTAACTATGTCACACACAGGAAACACTTGAACACTATGAAGACTCTCCTTACAACTCCTAGAATTAGGAACTTAAAAAGCAAATCCCATAAATCACACAGTGCATGAACCGGCTGAGGCAGCTGCTGGGCAAAAACACACAGTCCACTGCGAGTCGCCCAGACACCTAAACCAAACAGCACTTTAGCGCGCTTCAAAGTAACAAGCTGTTACTGAAAAACATCAGTATGCTAAACGTGGCAGTGCAAAAACGCATACACAGACACGCATGGAACACACAAACCAATCACACACACATATGTATCACCCAGACAGTCAGCATGAAAAGTCAGATGAAATAATACTGGTTTATAAAGGTGTCCTGGGGTTTTCTAATACAGACAAACTTTCTACCTCTTTGACCCACAAAGGTCATGTTACTTTGTTAATTCAGTCAACCACACAGACTCAAAGAGGAAACACAAACCCCAAAAGCCAAAAATCTAGACAGTATGTGTGCATGTGCAGCGGTACATGGGTAACAAACCAATGAGCATGTAACATATTGTATGTCAGGTTTATAAGCACACACAGTGTGAACTTAGAAGAATGGATGGGTTGCTAGGGTTAAAACTCTACCTTACAAATTAATCGTTAATAAAACACAGTACAAGTAAAATATGGTTTTATTTATATCTTTAATAACTCATGCTTGAAACTCATACCAAAGGCAAACACCAGCGGCAAGTAAGCAGAAAATGAAGTGTTCGACGGGGCACACAACAGGACTGATTCCTGAACCCACTTCGTAAACACTGGGTATTTTCTTTAGCATTTGTCAACCGTCACCCACACCGGTTTCACAGCAGCGCTCGTCAATATTCCAATCGAAACCCACAACCTGCTCTGGCCACATCTCCATTATGATTCTATTCCCGGCGATTTCACTTCAGTTGCTGTCTTAGGAAGAAAATAGAAAGCCGTGGTGCACGGAACCTCTAAGATTCACCTGGCCACTAAGATCCAGACCATGAACGCTCCCTTCCCCCAACCAAGACCACAGGCGGCACTCTACAGTTTCGGGACTCCTAGTATGACGAATATCTACATCCAAACACTGTGGCCACGAGCTCAAAGACCACCAAGAATCCTAACCGGCAGGTAGGAAGTCTTCTCAAGTCATGGTCCCACCTGAACCCCATCACTTCCAGGATCTGGCGGTGACCCTGACGCCAGCACGCTGCCTGAGCACCTCCGCCGGCTCTGGCTCCCCTTCTCCCCAGTACACTCGCACGCGATTGCGCACACTCGCTCGAGCACGCCGGAGCACACTCGCTCACACTCACGCTCCAGCGAAGAGGCCCCTTTGCCCGCTCCGCTCTCGTGAGTGGCTCCCAGGCTCGGCCACCGAAGCGTGCCGGGTCGGGGTCGCCCAGACGCCGCTCCGAGGCTCCGCGCGGTCGCAGGGAGCCCGCCACCGCCTACCTTGCTCGCCGCGGTCCATGTCTGTGCCACCTCGCTCCCG